TGCTGCCCGCCGGGGCGGGGCGGTGGGACCCTAGGCCGCAGGTAGCCCCGCGGCCCTGGCTGCCTGAGCAGCAAGGCCGGGGGCAGACGAGCTCGCCGCCCCGCGGGGCTTAGCGCCCCTCCGCCGCAAGGGCCGGGCCAGCCCTGTCCACTCGCCCCGGCTCGCAGACAGGCTGTGCGGACAACGTGCGGAGGGCAGGGCTGGGGCACATGGCTTGTGAGGACAGGCTGAGGGGACTGGGCTTGCTCAGCCTGCGGACGAGGAGCCCGAGCGGGGTTTAACAGCAGCCTTCAACTCCGTCCAGGGGGTTGCAGAGGATGGAGCTGGCCTGTTCTCAGTGGGGGCAGATGATGGAACAAGGAGCAACGGGCTCAAGTTGCAGCAAGGGAGGTTTAGGTTTGATATTAGGAAAAAACTTGCTGGCTAGGCGGGTAGTAAAGCACTGAACAGGTTACCCAGAAAGGTGGTGCAGTCTCCACCCTTGGAGGTTTTTAAGACCAGCTAGATAAAGCTTTGGCTGGGATGATCTAGTTGGGGCTGGTCCTGCTTTGAGCAGGGCGTTGGACTAGTAGACGTGACCTCCCGAGGGCTCTTCTGACCCTCAATTTCGGTGATTCCATGAAGCTGGTTTCACAGCCCTGCGGACTGTAACTTATCCCAGTGAAGTTATATTTGCTTTTGCTTAAGCAGAACAACCCAGCCCTGGGCTCCTAGCCTTTGAGTAACACTTCTAGTTTCTTTTGGAGAAAAATGCATGTTGTGTTACATGTGATGAGGCACGTCTCCCCACGTGCACCCCCCTTTCCAAAAGCCTAGATCTGCCCATGGATGCATGCAGTCCCTGCCTCTGCTTGGTGAACTGTCTGCAGGAAACCTCTGGGAGCTGGATTGCTTTATGCTGGCCTTGCATTCCCTGAAGCCATTGGCATGTTGAAATATATATTAAAAATTTGTCCTGAATTGTGAAACAAAGTTGACTTCTCAGGCTTCTTAGCTGGGGTGGTATTTCTTTCAGCCTGTATCTAGCATTCCCTTTTCCCTTCTAGGAGTGTCCTCTTCAACACAAGTTAAATCTGAATGAGAAGCAAAAGTGCATACCTCAGGAGCTTGACCTAAAAAGTGATCTGAAAAGGCCACCTGAAAAACAGGTTGTTCGGGAGGGGTAGGGATGGAAATTATATGATGCATAAAAAGGTCTGGAGAGCTTTTTATCTGTAAGTTCCTTTTTTTCTTCCATGGCAGTATCAAAAATATCTAATCTGAATTTTTTTTTTCTTCTCCATGGTTTGCTTGGCCTCAAGGCCATGATTATGACCTCTGATACTTTAACTGAAGGGGCAAAGCTGGCAGCCATGTGACAGCCTTGATTCCCAATGTTAGTCATTCCCATTAAATAGGTGTTATCAAAAACAAACAAACCAGTGACTTTTGAACAGTCTGAATTTCCTTTTCAGGTTATCAACTTTCCACTCTCTCTCTCAGCTCATGCGATTTCACAAGTTCACTTGTTCTCCACATCTTTTGCCTTACAGCCTTGTCAGCCACCTCCAGAGTCTGCTGTTCTTTGGGATCCCCTCAATCCAAAATATATCATGTATTATTACTAATAGGTAAAAAAATGTTATAGTCATGTATCATACTCCTTTCTGTCTGAACCAGGGGCCGTGCATGAGTGTGACTGAGGCACTGTAGGTATTTTGGAAGCTAGAGGCTGTTTTAAAGCGGAAGAGTCCAACAGGGCTTTATGATGCTTAGATGGTAATACATGTGACCCCTTTGGGTTTCAGTGATGATGTTCATAGCTAACAGTGTTGAGGGTGGGTTTACTAATATTTGTAAACTACTATGGAAACATTCCTGGCTTGCCCTCCAGAAGGGCTAAATAAGGTTTCATATTTATGTCTATAAAACACCACCACAGAACTGGGCACTTTTCTGCCAAACACAGAAATAAGGCTGCTGCTTTACCTCAGAATGTTATCTATACCAGAATTACAACCTAGGGTTTTTTTCTTTATTCTTGATATTTATTGCCGATTGAGCTGTTTAGAGACCTTTGAGCTTCAGAAGGCATTACTGCTTGCATCCTCTTTAGTCCCTTGAGCTCAAGTTGTTTCAACCTGAACAATCTCTAAGAGTCTAAGGGCCTATATTCCCAGGAAAACTAACACAGGTATCCCAGAACTGCTGTTCTGCTATAGCTCTCATTCCAGAATAACTACAGCTCTTTCAGTTTATACCCTTCTGTATTCCAGAATAACATCTTTGGGCAAGGTAAGCCCTGAAAGTGTGCAACCTGGGTAAAATAAAACTGGTTTTCTGTCGATGAATACTGGTATGGCTTGGAGTTGGTGTAATTGTGGTCAAAAGTAGCTCAAATGCTACAAGAAAAGAGATCTGAATGATGTCTGCAAGTCAGAACAAGATGAAAGTTGAAGTCCTGTTGAATTTGAATTACTTGTCTGGTTTCACAATAGTCTATTACTCTCCCTACTACTTATTATTAAACATGCTTCTTGCTTATAACAACCATCCTGATGCAACTTCTAGCCTTTGCTTCAACTGAAGTGTACTTTCGTTACTGCTAATATAAAAGCATAAGTAATGTCATGCTATTTGGGTATAAAGGTTTTTGTAAATATTTAAGATTTGACTTGGTGCACTGCAACTGATTTTTTTTTTTTTGTCCCTATTGATAAATTAACAGGTTACCTCTGCACAGTCAGCCATTGGAAAAAAAAAATCATCAATCCTTGCAGAATTAGCAGAAGTGTCCCAGCACTGCTCAGCCAGGATGGGATGGGAAGCTAGACTTCCAAAATCTATAGCAGTATTACAGTGCCTAGGTATGGAGGTTGTTTTGCACTCTGTACATTTATGTAACTGGGACAGAAGTTGGGCTGTGCCTGCAGAGAAACTTGTGGAGGCTTTTCTACCCGTTGCAATCAGTATTTACACACCTGTCTACTTAAGTACTTTGGAGCACTTAAGTACACCCCCTTGCTTAGTCATTTCCTTTATCCCTCTACTGGTCAACACCTATTTAGTGAACACCAGGCCCAAAACATATTCAGGCCTTACCTATGTGATAGATAACATAAGGTATAGATTTACTGGCAAACCCTACCAGTATAAATGTAACTCATGTGCAAAAAGTGCTTTTGTTGCTATGGCTTTTCAACAATTAATTAGCCCAAGTGAAGTATTATGCTCATACGGCTGTACTATTTGAAGCTTTGCACAGGGCTGTCTTGCACTATGTGGACGTACCTTCTACCTGCCAGCTCTTGAACTGTGTTTGTAGCTCTTGGCAGCCTGTCGTCATCCCTTTTCTTTTTTTCCTTCTTTTTTTTTTTGAAGTGAGGGCACCAGAATTGAACCAAGCATTCCACGGTTGGTTCATAACTAACCTATGGAAAAGTAACAGCGCCAATCTGGTCTTATTCTATATCTCTTATATCTGAGAATCATGTTAGCTCTTTGCTCCCATATTTCTACAATGATCCCATGTTCCTTTCCAGAGCTGTTGCTCTTTGGAGTACAGTCTCCATCCTGTGCTACCTGTTGTCTTCATTCTTAAATGTCTGACCTTGCATTGGTTTACTTAAAATGCATGTTGTTTTATTGCAGTAGTTTACTAGGCATTCCTGATTGCTTTATATCTGTGACCTGTCTTAATAGCCATTTGCTAGCTTCTGTTCCTTGTATGTTTTAGTACTTGTGTTCTCTGCTTTTCAGATCTCTGGTTGGAGATAATTAGCATGGAATGCTGCAGCATATTTTCTAATCAAACCTGATTTTCTGGAAAAGATTTTTAAATTACTCTTACTTTAAAATCATGCCTGAAGCAAAGAATCACTGGCAACTTTTGCACATAGCCCAGTGATTCTTAACCAGAGTGCCACACAATACTAGTGCTGTTAAGTGTGCAAATATGTATATAATTAAGGCGATACATCCAGAGATTTCAGATGGAAAACTCTGATGTGAAAAACATTCTGACCTGCTGTGGGCTTTCTGAGGTCTTTGCAGAAGAAAAATTATTATATTATTTTTATGTAGTCAAGATGCAAGTGAAAGCTAAGAACTGGCATTTTCAGAGAAAAACCTTGAGTTTAAAAGGGTTAAGAACCATTCATTTAGGCCACGTACTGTGCAGATGAGAATATAAGGACAAGTAATGTGAAGCCCCATTCAACTTCAGTTAGTCAACAGAGAATTAGGATTTTTCAATGAGCAAGACTCCCACCAGTCCAGCTGCAGTGGGGATAGTGTACCACTACTGCTTTTTGAATGTGGCAGCATCCCTGGTTGAGCACTACTGTTGGTACTTCCTCAGGTTACCTCAGTGCTTCTCAACCAGGTTTTACTGCCTCCAGGTACAACTGCCCCATGCCTGCTGCACAGGCAGCCCAGGAAGGGCTGTGGTACATGCACATGCTCCTCCTGCACATCAGGGCTCTCTAATCAGCCTAAAGCAGGCAGCAAAGCTATCTCATACTGTGCCCTTCCTGGTCACTCCCCCCACCCCCAACAAGCTCCTCCTCAAAAACAGAAGTGAATGGGACAGTTCTATGTCGGCCTGTTTCTGGGAGGAGCATAGCGAGGTAGCTTTGTTGCTTTAGGCTGATTAGAGAGCCCTAACACAGGAGGAGTACGCAGGGCAGTTTTACCTAATCACTGGCACCATGGAATCCCTTAGGGAACCTTGTGGCACCCTGGTTGAGAACCACTTGTGTAGTCACAGGCCCCTGTAGTCAGTCCCACTTTAACTTGTTCAGCAGGCTTAACCATGTGATTAAAATCATCAGTCTTATCTATGCATGTGCTTGGACTGGTGCTAATCCAGGTTTGGGGCAGGTGGGAATTCTTCTATTAAATTTCCTAATGTAGGCATAGTCCCACTGACTTCAGTAGGAATTGTTTGGAAATCTGAGTGGGTTTTAATCTTCTGGTGTAAGCTTTAAAAGCTCCTTCGTTTGACCACTGTCTTTGGTTATGTTGGACTCAAAACAGGCACCGCTTTTGCCAAGTATATATGAAGTCCTTCTGGCAAGCTGAAATTGAGATGATAATTTTGGTTGTATAAAACATGCTGTCTCATGGTGGTGGGGTAGAGATGACACCATCTTAAACAATTGCTCTTAATGGACAAGTTGTGTGCATTTTCTTGAACTTACAGGAAGGGTGAGCTCCTCCCCTACAGTCGCTAAAAAAAGCTCAACAGAGAAGTGAAACCTGCAGTCTTGCTTTGGGCTCTGTGCAAAGCGGTTCTAGTGGATGTGAAAGGGGGTGGCATTTCAGGACTGCTGTGATGGCTGTGCCTCATCAACTTGAGATGCTCCACAACTCCAACTTTGCAGCTCCTGTCACAAGGACTCCTCTAGATAGGCTGGTGTTATGCTGTGCAGATTTTTTAAGCAGAAGGCCTTCAGTCTTACTTGCTGGATAAACAGCCAGCAGGAAGCAAGTTGTCAGCCCTCGTCTGAGAAAGCTGTTATGTGCTGCAGTAATGGCAGTCTGAGAAATTCTCAAGGTTAGACTCACATAAAGCTGTATCTTCTCATGACCCAGTCTTCATGTTACAAAGGCAGATGGCTCTGAGGCCTGTACATGGAAGGAAATGTCCTTTCTGTGAACTGGAGGAACAGTGCTCACTGTTAGGACCTAGGGAAGTCTGCCCTGAACTTATTTTAAAAAATAACCCTTAATTTGTTCTTAGGGCCAGGGATCTATCTTGCTGTAATGCAAAATGCTGATCATTTATAGACAGTCTAAGTAATATGGTATAGTAGCCTTTATAATGAATGGTTACTGCTGGTGCTCACAGCTTTGTTTCTTAATTTCTAAAGTGTTGTAAATGCTTAAAGCAACTCCTTGCAAGGCTTCCTGTGGCAAAAAGCAGCTGTTACCTCACCCTTGCTCTTTTCCTTGCTATTCGTAATAATCCCTTGTAAGTGTGAAACAAAACTCTCTGCTCCCTTATGGATTTCCTCTCCATTGCTCAGGTGTGCAGGCACCATTACCATGGTAGGCAGTATGTGCAAATTCCAAAAGGTAATGTGTTGCTCCAGCACAGGACAGGATCTGTTACCCCATGGCATTGTAGGATGCAAGAGTATTATGCAGCAGTAAAGCCACCAGGAGGAAGTGAGGATCAGCTGGGTTAATCTTGGTCCCATAAAATGGAGAGAGCTTTATCTCTGTGGTGGGGCGGGGGGAGAACTGAACTATTAATGCTCATTTAATAGTTGCTGGGGTGAATGGATCCTCAGGGCCAGGGTGGCTTGTGGGACGCTTGAAGCCTGGGTGGCTCATCCAGAGGCATGGGGGGGCTATTGTGGTGGATCAGTAGGGGGTGCTCCTGTGCTGATCTACCCACCTCACTGTGCCTGACCACCTTGCAGGCTCTGAGTGCCTCCCTGGGGGCACCTCATGTCTGGCCAACCCCCCTTCCTAGA